AGAACACACACACAGAAAAAGGGATAAAACACTCCATCAATTTTCTTTTTGATTTTTCCGATTTCAAATTTACGTTTTTTATAATCAGTTTTGTGATTGACTTTGTCCCATGGTGGCCACACCCATATAACTCTTTTAATTAATCCAGTGGCACTTGCACCCTACAAAACATAAGATGAAATCAGAATTAGAATCCATTTGTTTTCAAGGTTTTAGATCATGTTTCTGTCGAATGACTTGCCAATTTCCTATGACTTTTATGTACAATCAGTGTAAATTTACAGTTATACATGTACTTTCTATTAGTAATAAGATAAAACCTAAGCTTGAATTAAGGTTGGAGTATTTGAACATTTCAAATAATTAGACTAACATTAGTCAGAGCTTTAGAAGATATTAATAAGTACAATATTATTGCTTTTAATCGTTTCATCAGAATCTGATAACATATTCATTAGCCTATCGTGTTTCATTCTAAAACCAAAAGAAAAACACATACAATTTACCAAATGCATCATGTTCTAATCATATGTACTCTATTAATATCAGGATAATTTTAAAAAACATACCACTATAAAGACATCATTTCTCTGCATTAGTGAAAATAGTTGTATATCAGTTGTTGGATATTTTAACAGTGGGAAATCTTCAGTTATAATAGGATATGCATTATCATCATGACCATCAATATGTAGCTGAAAACAAATTTAATTGATGCTCAAAGCTGCAGAGAAGTGTTTTTGGTGTGTTTGTTTAATGAGTCTGATTTGCTATTTACTATTCAAACATATAAGAATTGGGATATCAGCTTTACTATAGTACAGCTAGTCTCAGAATATTTTCATGATGTCCACTTCTGATTTTATCTAACACTGTGAGATTATATTAACAAGAGATTAAGACTTACTATTGTAACATCAGATTTTGTAATTAAACTCTGTTCAGCAGCTGCATACCAATAAGGGATTACTAAAACAAGTATCATTAATAATGATCAGGATTATTTCAAAAAGTTATATATGCACAGTGGCACCTTGCAGTTATAAAATCATTTTACAGTGGCTTAAAGGGAATTACTTTTCATTGAGCTAAATAGAAATGCACAAAGAATTCTTTGATCTTTGCATGTGATATAAGTTTTCAATTCCAAATTGTTAAGGGTTGCTAATTTGCTCAGTCTGCAGCACATAATGCCTCAGTTAGTCCTCCATTCTGATTCACTGTGCACTTTACAGGTCAGCTGACCAAATTCATTAATGACAAGGGGAAACTGGTGCTTCATGAGGTGCATCTATATCTTAGGTTACAGAGCAGGCATTATACACCACTACAAGCTCCATGAGCCACAACAACCCCATTAAAGGAAATAGCAACTCCCATACCTTCATGATGTTCCTCCACTATGACAACTGGTATTCTTGATGAATCATTAACTTTTAAATATCTAATACTAGGTGGGAGAATATTCACAATGTTTCTAAGAGGAGTTGTTTTGTGTCTGTTGAAACTGGCAATACTGATTATACAATACACAACCCAAGCAATTATACCAGCAGACAACAGCATCAAAAACCTTCTTTTGTTGCTTCTCATTGTATCAGTAGGCTGCTATAAGATCATCAGATTTCTGCAATTGTAAATAGGCTGTTGTGATATGAATAATATAGAAATATGTGTGTGAGTTTCAAACAATTTCAAAAAAGGACTTTCAGTAATACGTCTGATCTCTGCAGGGCTAACTTTACACTGATATGGTAGGCCAAAGCCTATATTTTTTTTCTATGCAAATTTAGTACATTTAATTATTTGGATTTCAAATTTCACAAAGAAACTCCTATCAAATGACTAAGTTTTTGAAGTAAAGGTTAGCCTACTTTCTGTAAAACAACCCTATCTGAAGAAAAAAGTTGTAGGCCTAAGCCGAAATCAATCAATCTCAAAATACAGAATGATCAGTATCAAAATCAATTGTCCCAAAGTATATGCTTCATTGTAATCCATAACTTTAAGAGTTTTACGATTACTTACCATAATATATCTGGCAAGTGTTGCTAATGGCTGAGATCAACTGGGCAGACGATAAGGTTTGCAGACAAAAAACTAAGATCAAGTCCGCAGACGATAGCCAGCAGACAATAAGAAAATTGAACTTTTTGACTCATCCTCGCGATTTAGCCAATCAACGACAGCGACACAAAGAAAATGATCGGGATTCCCTTAAGGGACGTAAATCATGTCATAACAACACATGGTGTCCGCGAACGTAGATTTTCAATAAATAACTGAATATAGAAGTAATGTTATTTTAACAAGATCAGAGAAGCTATGGGAAACGTTTATTATTCATTTATCAGGCAATCACAAGGTAGGTAGATCATCACAGACTCCCGACTTATTCTTTTTCACGATTACACAAGCCTAAGCATCATGCCTACAGACCAAAATTATAATTCCTATGGAGAAATATTATTACAATACGACAAAAGAGAAAAAAATTCAGAACCACCCATATTACTGTTTTGCCACTTTTAAACTAGGATAAATATTAAGATAAATGAATATTCTTTAGATTCTACTAGGTGTAGTATCTCGGAATTTCTGCTTTTAATCCAAAAACTCGATCTGAAACACCCCCATGAGGCTTTAAGCAGCTATAAGTCATTTTCGTCGGTATCAAAACTACTATTAACCCCGTTTTGCCACTTTTAGACTAGAATAAATATTAAGATAAATGAATATTCTTTAGGTTCCACTCAGTGTAACATCTCGGAATTTCTGCTTTTATTCCGAAAATTAGACCTGAAACACCCCTATTAGGCTAATGTTAAGCAGCTATAAGTCATGTTTGTCGACATCAAAATTACTACTAACCCCGTTTTGCCACTTTTAGACTAGGATAAATATTAAGATAAATGAATATTCTTTAGGTTCATTTAGGTGTAACATCTCGGAATTTCTGCTTTAAATCCGAAAATTCGAACTGAAACACCCCTATTAGGCTAATGTTAAGCAGCTATAAGTCATATTTGTCGACATCAAAATTACTACTAACCCCGTTTTGCCACTTTTAGACTAGGATAAATATTAAGATAAATGAATATTCTTTAGTTTCCACTAGGTGTAACATCTCGGAATTTCTGCTTTTAATCCGAAAACTCGACCTGAAATACCCCCATTAAGCTCATTTTCACAAGTTATATATCACATTTGTCGACAGGAAACTACTATTAACCCCGTTTTGCCACTTTCAGACTAGAATAAATATTAAGATAGATGAATATTCTTTAGAGTCTACTACGGGTAGTATCTCGGAATTTCTGCTTTTAATCCGAAAACTCGACCTTGAACACCGCTACTAGGGTAATGTTAAGAAGCTATAAGTCACCTTTGTCGATTTCAAAAATACTTTTAACCTCGTTTTGCCACTTTTATAATAGGATAAATATTAAGATAAATGAATTTTCGTTAGATTCTACTAGGGGTAGTATCTCGGAATTTCTGCTTTTAATCCGAAAACTCGGCCCGAAACACCGCTATTAGTGTATTGTTAGTCGACTTTAAAACTACTATTGACCCCGTTTTGCCACTTTTAGACTAGAATAAATATTAAGATAAATGAATATTCCTTAGGTTCCACTAGGTGTAACATCTCGGAATTTCTGCCTTTTAATCTGAAAACGCGACCTGAAACAGCAATAGGCTAATTTTCACACTTTATATATCATGTTTGTCGACATCAAAACTACTATTAACCCCGTTTTGCCACTTTAAGTCTAGGATAAATATTAAGATAACTGAATATTCTTTGAGTTCTTTTTGGTGTTTTATTATATTGAAATTTCTGCTTTTAATCCGACATCAAAATTATCCTTACCACCGTTTTATCACTTTTAAACTAGAACGATGAAGATGAATGAATATTTTGAAATTCAACGAGGTATTCATCTGATACCTTGACTGCAATGGACTTTTTTCTGAAGTTTGTGAACGCAGCAACTTTATTGACGAA